GGGGGGGGGGGGGGGGGGGGGGGGGGGGGGGGGGGGGGGGGGGGGGGGGGGGGGGGGGGGGGCGGCCCTCCCTACCCTGGTTTAGTCATCTGAGATGGAAAGTCTGCTGAAAATGGGCAGGCGTCTTGAGTTGTCCAAAGTAGGGGAGTCTGAGCCACTGTGGCTGCTGCTGGAGCTGCTCAGGTAGCCCTCCTGGTCCGAGAGAGAATCCTGAGGGCTGGGGGGAGAGTCAAACATGTGAGGGGACTCAGACATGGGCCGAAAGAGGAAGGTGGTTGGGGAGCCACCCCCGGGCAGCCCCATGCTAGGGGCAAAGAGGCTCGCCAGCTCCTGACTGGAGAAGGCGAAGGGGTTATTGGTGCCATCGGGCAGGGTGGGCGAGCCCAGGAGGTCATCGGCGCTCAGGATGGGGGGTGGGGTGATGGACGTGGGGCTGTCCAGCAGCCCCGTGGCAGCGGCGGTGGCAGCGGCACTGGGAAACCCAGCAAAGCTAAAGCTATGCTGGAGGCGGGGACGGTCAGCAGAGAGGTCCCGGGCCCCGGCCAGGGCACGGCGCTCCTCAGCGTTGTGGATGAAGTGGCAGCGGGGCCCATACGGGCAGAAGCCGATGGTGTGGAAGGTACGGCACAGCTCCGTCTTGTACTTGGGGTGGCGGGTCAGGCTTCGGAGCTCGTGGATGCCGTGCGCGAACTGGCACTTGTCGCCGTACTTACAGGCTCCGTTCTCCTCGAAGGGACGGCACAGCTCCGTCTTGTAGCGGCTGGAGTTGACCTGGCCGCTCCCCGGCTGCTTCTGGGTGGGCAGCAGCCGCTCGCCCCCTTCTGAGAAGGAGCGGTCTCGGAAGCGACTGTCCCGAGAGCTCAGAGCTGGAGCTGGCTCGCCCTTGAGGCTGCTGAGGAGCTGGTTCTGGTGGAACTTGGAGCTGGGCAGGGTGACAGAGTGCCTTCGGGGGAAGCCCCCACCGGCAGGGGTGCCCACCGCCTTCCTGTCCAGCAGGCAGCCCCCGGCACCGGGAGGACTGTAGTTGAGCATCTTGTTACCCTGGAGGAGAGAGAGACAAGAGAGACGGCGATTAGTTGACAAAGGCCATCCGCCAGGCCCAGAAGGGTACCCACTAAGGGCAGCCCCCTCCACGATCAGAAATGCTCCGTCTCAAAGGAACCCACCATCCCCACCTCCGCCCTGGCAAACCCCTCACCCTCTTTCTCCCATTCAACCCGCCGAGAGGGTTTACTCTGGCCCCAGGCGTAAGCCACAAAATTCCTGGCCTGTGTGAAAAATTGTTTTACACAAGCACCTACTCCACGCCGATCCCTGGAATGCACCCTCATATCCTGTCCCCAAATCTACCACTTTCATCCATGAAATCCCACTTCCTCACCTCCCAAATAGATCCCTGTGTTGAAAATATCTCACACAACTCACAAACTCTCCTTTCCCACCCTCAGGAGACTAGGAGCTAGGTCTCCTTTTAATCAGTCCCTGCCTAATTAACTGCCGCCCTCCCCCCAAACCTGGCCTGAGACTCTCAACTTCCTCCTTCAGAAGCATTCCATTCCTTTGGCAACAGATTTCCAGACTGCCTTCGCTTTACCTTGCTGATGGGAGGGGAGAGGGAGGGGCAGGAAGAGAAATCCCGGATTGGCAGGGGGGTGGGTTGGCAGGGAGAGGGAGGTGATTCCCCAATACAAAACTCATTGCCCCGTGCTCCCAGAAGAGGTGCCTTCTACAATGATCTCTCCCACCAGCCACTGCCCACCCCACCCCCTCCACTGGGAAGATGCCTTTGCAGTTAGTCTCCTGGCTGCAAGAGCACGCTTGGATAAGAGCGCCAGTGTTTAATCTTTAACGCAAAGCTGCAGGTGGGAAGGAAAAGGAAAGCACCAAATCCCCCCAGCCTCCTCCCAGTCAATAATGGATTTGGGGGAGGGGGACAGAGGCACCAAAGGCAGGTCTCCGTTCCAACGGGACCCTATTCACCTGCCCAAACTGTACCCAAGATTTGGAAAGGGTGTGAGCAGGGGACCTGGGAGTTGGCTCCCAGCCCATGTGGGTGTCACTGTGCGATTTCTAAAGTTGGTCCCTTAGGATCAGCTGCGGGGGATCTGGAATCTGTAACAGCAACCACCCCACAGAGCGGATTACAGGAACCAAGTAGAGAGCCTGTTCCCAACAATGAGGTTCATTTAAAAAGTCCTGCGGGGGGAGGGAGCTAGAGAGAGAGAAATAGATCAAAGCGCGGGAGAGCCAGGAAGAGAAGGAAGAAGCGCCGGGAGAGTTCAGGCAGCCGCCAGGGCGACTGAAGTTTGGGGATGCGCAGGTAGGGAAGGAAAAGCTGAAATTCAAACTTTTTTGATGTTGCTCTTCAGCTCCAGGGTATCCCTGCACCCCAACCCTGCAGCCCTGGGGCCCTGGCAGCTGCACGGACTGGAGAAGCAAGCTGGGAAAAGAGAGCAACACGACCCGACGTGTTTAAAAGAAGGCAAAACACTTCAGCAATTAAAAGTAGCCTAGCAGCTTCTCTCTTTCAAATTGGGGAGAGGGGGCGAAAAACCTTGAACATCCACAGGCTTCTGTTAGGTACGCCTAAACGGCACTCCTGGAATATTCCGGATTTAATACTTGCTTTTTTCCACACCGGCTGGCAAGCTACACGGCTTGAGGGCCTCATTAAATCCTTCCTCGCCGAGACCCTTGAGCTCAGACCGGCATTTTGTAGTCGTGTCCCCCCATCCCCTCCATATCGAGGAGTCGCGGTCCCTCGGAAAACAGGTAAGCGGGTGAACCCGAGTCCCACTCTCACCC